GGCTACAAATTTGTGACAGCTCAAGGCATAAACCAGGAATCCACTGTGTCCTGGCAGCTGTGCCTCAACAAGACGACTGTACATTGAAAGGCAAGCATTTGAAGACATGACCAACATAGCCCTGATTCATCCAAGAGTACACCTGTCCTCACTGAAGTGGGGCAAGATCACTTTGGAGATCTGTACCATGTGTTAGCAGCATTAAAAGAAAAAAGCCAGTTTGACTTGCCCCAGGACAAGTAACGTGGATGGGTATCTGTAGCCTACATGGATAACAATCATCAGTACTACCACGAGATATTGAGTAATGGAAAAATTAACAGCAACCAAGGATCATTTTTCTGTGGGGTTCCCCCCCCAAAGGTTTACTGACACACAAATGTAAAAGCTAGTTCCTTTCATCAGAAGTTATCCTCTAGTTGAGCATTTCCAGTTGGCCACACCCCAGGTTCCTCTGCTTAGTATGAAAGCGTGCATTAATTTACATCTTACTTCTCTGCTTTGCTTCCAACCCCTGCATGTCTCTACAAAGCTGATACAGGCCAATTCTTCCTGGGAGTAACTCTGGCAATCAATGAAGTCACATTCCTGTCAACCTGGTGCAAGAAGATGCAGGTCCACAATTTTCACTTGGACGAAACACTGGCAGGAGTTTACCTCATGAAAAAAGGGAAAGTTTGTAAATATGTTTAGGCACCTAAAGCAGCAAGCAGTCCCCAGAAGGGATACACAAAACCATAAATTAACCCATTTGGTGCATATCTGCATCCTCAGATGACTCTGCATCTTTTAAGAACGTTCGTCTGATGAGATTCCACTTCCTAAAATACTTTAAATTTGTTGTTTTTGAATTAAACTTTAAGTAGCATGGCATGTAAATATAAACAATTACAATTGTCAACACACAGGAGCATCTCTGATCTTTAAAAATGGAAGCACAGTAACTTAGGCAAACAGAAATTAGTCTCATTTTTTCATAATTTCTCAGATTAAAGTTATATATTAGCTAAAGTACAGTGTTATTACTATACCCTTAGGCTTCAGAGCACATCACGCCACATGTTCTTTTGGCTGCTAAAAAGCAGCAACCAAATGATTAGCATTTTTTCCAAGAACAGTTGAGATTAATAGTTTGAAGTAATTTCTTTAATTTAACCATGAAACTTGAACACTGGAATTAGAGTCAATGTTAATAACATTTTATTTCAGAAAACTCTGTGTTAGTCCTTAAGCACTGATCGTAAGATGGATAGAGTCCTCATTGTTATCTGTCTTTTCTGTAATTGGAAACAAACCCCAACTATTAAACTTGCACAACTTCGTAACAGTACAGCTTTAACCGAGTCCATGTACATAACTTCAGACAACGCCTGTCCCTGCAAAAACGCAGAAACTGGGAGCAAACCATCACCCTACTGAAATCAATAGGTGTTTTTCTGTGATTTTTGTGGTACCAAGCAGGACCTATTTGATCCGCAGAGGTTCCCAGCGGGGATGCTGGAGGGACAGGTGAATGACATGACATCTCTGTGCTAGACTCACAGAAGTTCCTCGCTGCTCTGACCAAGACATCCATTTTCTGAACAGGATCAAAACCCCTTTCATCCCCATTTCCTAGACAAAAAGGAGAGGAGATAGGGGATGAGAGCGCAGTAATAGAAACCCCAACTCATACACACAGGCAAAAATCCTTCTCGCTCTTCCAAGCAGAGCAACGTTCCCAGCCTGAATAGAGGCTTTGTAGACATTGCAAACACCCCAATATGACTGAGGGAATTCCAGTCACCCTCAAATTGTGTTCCTATCTTTTTTGAAGACACTGAAATCCCTTCCTTCCATGATGCCTGTTCCTCCCTCCTCAACTTAGGAAGCCTCTTACTCTGGCTGCTAGTGCCAACAGCTCCTGTGACTACTTGAAGACTTTTTGAAAGCTGTGTCCAGGCTCTGTTAACCACAAACCAGCTCCTGTAAACCTGCTAACGGATAGCAAAGCTCTCCCTTGAGTTTTCCCCACAGAAGCGTACCAGCAAGCTCAGCTCTTACAGCCTGGGAAGGCTCACTTGGCATTCTTTATCTGCAAGGACTCCATTAGCAACTTAGCGTAACATAAAGCGTATTTTAAAAAGGCACTGAAAATAAGGGGTAATTAAAATGTAAGAAGTGTCATCTTCATAAAAGTCACAGGACTAAATAAAGTCTTGGAGGGCCCTCTCCTGTACGTTCCGTATTTCTCTACGTGCACAACCCACCTTGCTCTGTAAAATCTTTTAATAAACATAGCCAGTCTTCTCTGTACCTTTAAAAATATCTGAAGTAGCATTTGATTAGTTCATAGGGAAAAGCTCCTAATACATTTTTTCCTCCAAGCAGAAGACAGTTACATGCAAAATTAACTCTCAACTCAGAACTGTGAAGACTCAAAATCCAAAACCAATTTACAGGCAGTTACCAGGTCAGCAACAATTTGATCCATTACCAAAGAGCTAATCTAGATTTAAGAAAATTACTTTCATTTATTCATCCAGCCTAAGAAAATGCTAACAATTGTAACTCCTTAGATGACAGGATTGTCACAGCAACAGCTAAGAACTGCACAAATGTGTACTTTTTCCTTTACAAAAAAATATTTAACCTCTCTTGGCAAAGCACTGAGAAACTACATAGTAAGAATATCACAGTAATGTTCATATTTGTGTCTTACTGATTTTTGGTACTGTGAATTTAGATTAATGAGCAAACAGACCCCATGGAAACAACCTCTCTTACCTTGTCTTAGTTTGATTTATTAAGCAATGCAATTGCCAGTGACAAGCCCACAGAGAAATGCACTAAACTTAACACTTCAGAAAGAGCAAAACCATACCCACATATTTTTTTTTGTACAAGAATGACTCTTTCCTCTTATTGCAACCAAAGGAACAGCAACAAAAACACCTACTTAAACAGTGAAAACCTATTACAATCCTCCTAACAAAGGAACACTGCAAAGACTTATTTTCTACATGGTTCATTTATCATTGCTGAACAAAGAAAAAAATAGCCTTTATGTCTCTTCACAAAGTAAAGTGATTTGCAGGGGAGAAAATAAATAGTGACCTCTCTTTCATCTAAAGAGAGACAGATAGGAAGTGGAAGGAAGGAAGGTGTTTGTAAATTAACACATAAAATAACAAATACCTTAATTCTCTAATGCTCTCTCTAGAAAATGCTATGAAAAGGTACTGAAACAGTTGTGGTAGATAGTAAATGGTTAATATCTGGCTGGGATTCCCCGCCAACACAAATTCCGATGATTTGCCATTGGATATTGTCAGCACCAATGTCCTGTTACAGTCCACCGAGATCCTCCCTGCAGCTTTCCTGCCTCAGGCATCTCTGATGTACGGGATCAGAGTCTGGAGCATCCCCGTTTATCACAACGTTTCACTTACCACCCCCTTGCACGCAGGCACGCACACACACACACACCAGATATTACGGCTTTTCAGAAGAAAGCATAAAAGAATAAGCAAGTCACTGAGGTCTGACACAGTAGCTCTGCACGAAAACCAAACGCATAAAAGCCCTTCTAGAAAATAGTTTGCTTTCCAAGCAAACCTTTAGCAGTGAACAGCCCTGAAACATTTTGAAGTATTACACAGCTGTTTGATGGTTTCTAGCGTTAAAGAGTTTACCTAGACACAGCAAATGTCCATAGACCTACCACTCTCTGCTTGCATTCATCTTTATATTCAAACCATAATGCAAATATTATCTGGTTCAAACATCACTGATCTAAATCAGCAAGTCGTACAATACTGTCATATTAAACCTACATCATAGCTTGTTTTCCTGAAGCATTCCTGGAGCCTGCCTTCTAGATGTAATTACTGTACAATATATATCAGAACCAGAGAGAAAGGCTTCACTCTGAGGGCTGAAATTGAGAAGAAATCAATACAAAGAAGATAAATGTTTCTTCAAGAGCTGCAGAGGTATTAACCCTCTCTCCAACTTATTTTCTTTTTGCTTCAAATCATTTTACCATGCGAGAAACTGCTGGAAGGACTGGGATATGATGGGTCTATCTGCTTATCTCCGTGTTTGGGGTTAGAAAAAAAGTGTATTTTAGGAAAAAAAAAAGAAAAAAAAAAGAGAGAAGTGGAAGTTCCTACAAAGCTTCCAGAATTTAATTCTTTCTTTTCACACTTGCGCACCTGGGCGCAGCCGACCACTCGGGCTGCATCAGGAGCCCACAGAAAGGACCGGAG